TATATAAACTGTACAATATATACAGTATCATACACAGTGTATACTGTATAACATGTATTTATATTAATTATTGCAGATTTGTTTATAGTAAATGCTTTAACTGATATTCACTCACATTTTATCTTCATGTGTGTTTTTCTTTTCTTTTATTCACATCATTATTTTAAATGTGCTTTAATAACTCTGGTTTAATGACGGCTCATGTTTCGTGAGCTGCTGTAATGTCATACTGACCCGGTCTATCTTGAAACAAAGATCTAAACTGTCTCAATCAGATCTAACCAGTTAAATTAAGGTTTAAATAAAATAACATGCAGCCTCCTGACAACAAACAGTCCAGGCTCAACACGGGACCAGAACCAGAACTTTGTTGCTGTGAGTGTTAAAGTGTGGAGGTTAGCACGTAGCATAGCAATCTAAGCTAACTACAGTAGTAGAGACGTTAAATCATTAAAAACAGTTCCAACACACACACAGTTATACTCTGACATTGTTCTGACATTGTCTCACAAAATGATTTATATAGATTTTTTTATTTACCGGACAAAAAGTGATCGGAGCACGACATCTTCGAGGGCAGATCCTTATCCAGACTCAACGATGTTCTGCGGTGAGCTCCTCCATGGAGGTCCTTCACATTTCATTATTTTTGGGATTAAGGGTGCATTCACACCAGCCCTGTTTAGTCTGCTTTAATCGAACTCTAGCTCATTTTCCTTGAAAGTCCGGTTCGTTTAGGGAGGTGTGAACGCGCCATCGAACTCTGTCACGGAACAAAAAGGCAAACTCTGGCCCGGGCTAAAACCTAGGTCTGGGTCTGGTAGAAGAGAACTCCAGCGCGGTTCGAGTGCAGTGTGAATGTAAACAGACCGGGCCCGCTCCACAGGACAAACAAACAAACAGCATTTCTCTGACCTTATTTGGAGCCGTCAGCTGCCTTGTGTGAAAAACAATATTCTCCATGGTCTTCTGTCTCATCTTCTGCTCATGCTAAGTCCATTGTTGAAAAATGACAAAATATAACTCCTAAAACTGCTAAAACTTGATGCCACTTGGTTTTTATTTTTATTTACAGAAGAAGAAGAAGAAGACGTGTCTTCAGAGGTTTTAGTGTTGTTTCTTTCAGTAGTTCTTGGTGCAGCGCCCCCACAGGCGAGCGGGGGAACAGGTTGGTTCAACAGGTTGACTCGACTGCACAGTGCAGTGTGAATGCAAACGCACCAGCTCAAATGTAAACAAAAGGTCATGAATATTGGTCCCGAACCGAACCGAGTCTACCGGACTATCTGGTGTGAAAACGACCTAAGTGAAAACTGCACTTTGCCCAAATGTCTCCCGGTTGTAACATCCTCTAACCAGCACGAAACAACCATTGCAATTTACTTAAAGAAAATAACCAAACCTCGAGGTAAACTGCACTGTATCTGTACCTGCTGCTAGAGGCAGCCTCCCAACATAGAGGACGTACTGGAAATGCCCCTGATGTGACATCACATGGGAACTATGTGTAGACACACAGCCTTACCTGATATAAGATGGGCACCGCAGACCCGTGCATTTTTTAATAGTATACTTAGTCCAATCCACCTGTTTGACAGCATGATGCCACAGCCACCTTCGGTGGCTCTGAAACGGTCGATTACCTCTTGGTATACCGTTTAAGCTCGTCCTTTGAATACCGGTTTAAACAACCGTGAACGCAACAACCCGCCATTTTGATTCTGGTGATGGTACTTATTTAGCGTTAGATTCTATTATGTTGGAAGACCGCCTGGCTTTACCATCCGAAGCAGTAGTTCTGTTGTCATGAAATCCCAGGGAGACTCTCTTGAGAGCTGCTGGCCCAGTTTAACCCAGTCAGAACCAGGTCGTAATTTCATTATAATCCTGTCTCTGAGCAGATCAAAACCATAAGACCAGTCTAGATTAAAAATATCTTAACAATGCGTGCGCAGCCATCTTTGTGTACTACCACTGAATGTGTCTATATGATATCTGTGGCACCAAGCCTGACACTTATTGTTCACATCAAGGATGGAAGTATTATTGGTGAGAGGCTGGTCACATGGTAAGAGTAGGCTGTCCTATGAGTGGAGATGATGACACCAAGGGGAGTGAGCAGTTTCTGAACAAAAGTGTGGCGCTCTGTAAATGGGGTCTGTTCGGGTGAAATGTGCAGACATGTGAGTCTGTGTTTTTCACTTCTCTGTACAATAAACCTGCAAGAATACTGTGCACTTTCATTTCAGAGCCTGCTTCAGACCTTTGAATAACGTAACAATAACTTAACACATAACATTCAGACAAAGGTAGAATATACAAGAAGAAACAGGAAATTAGACTCAATAATTTCTCATATTAGAATAGGACACGCAGGCCTTAATAAATCTCTTAAAATAATTGGAAAGCATGCAACAGGACTATGTGACAAAGGCACTAGTAATTTTCCTGAAACGGTTCAACGTGTTTTTATGGAATGTCCTGGGTATGAACCAGAAACATTTCCAAAAATAAATAAATAAAATTAATATTTATTTTTCAATTAGGGATGTTTTTAGTAGTGATATCTGTAAAGTTAAATACCAAAATATTATTTTCTTGAAAAATAAAAACTTAATAGAAAGAATTTAGTTGAGTTATTAAATTAATTTCATAGAATTATTAGTTTTTTTTTCCCCCTGTTTATCTGTTGTCCTCACTCTAGCTCAGTAGGTGGCGGTAATTTACCTTACTGTTGGTCTAGAAGAAGAAGAAGAAGGAAAAAGAAGAAGAAGAAGAAGAAGAAGAAGAAGAAGAAGAGAACGTCATGACGTATGATATTTACGTAAACCGTTCGGCGGTTGTCGGCGCAAAAATTTAAACACAGAGGAGGATAAGAATAGTCCCAGTTAAGAGTCAAAATATATCGGTACCGTTTAAAGAGGATTTTGTCTGTATTTTGAAAGGTTTAAGGTAAGTGGAATGGGCCGAGACGTTTTTTGGTCAATACTTATATTTTTAGCGAGTAGACAATAGGAGAGACGTCACGCTGTGGAAGTTAGCGAGTGTTGAGCAGCTCGTGCGGCTTCGTTTCGTTAGAAAGTTCTTCTTTGTTCAGGGGTCGCCACAGCGAACACACGTTTCATTGTACTCTTTCATTAGACATGGCAGAGACAACAGTTTGCTACGTGTACTACGTCAAGGTTTTCCTTCAGTCAAGTGTCACTTTCTGTGAGGATTTTTACATAAATCAGTTAAAACCAGCAACAAGCCATGTTCAACATGAACACATGTGTTGTTCAACATGTTGAACACAACATGATGTGTTCAACATGTTGTGTTCAACATGTTGTGTTCAACATGATGTGTTCAACATGTTGAACACATCATGTTGTGTTCAACATGTTGTGTTCAACATGTTGAACACAACACAACATGATGTGTTAAACATGTTGAACACAACATGTTGTGTTCAACATGTTGTGTTCAACATGTTGTGTTCAACATGTTGAACCAGTTTTCAACATGATGTGTTCAACATGTTGAACCAGTTTTCAACATG